GCCGCCACGCGCGTGGGCGAGAGAGCCGCCTGGTTCGAGCGGGAGCGCTGTGGCGATGGGGCCAGCCCCCGGGCCCGACGCAGCGACTTCCTGCAGAAGACAGGTAGCAACTCCTTCACTGTGCACCCCCGGGGCCTGAATCGCGTCCCGGGCGCGCGCCCACTCCCTAACGGGCCCGCGGTCGAGCCCCCGGCCAGCTCTGCCAACGGCCTTTCGGGGGCCCCGCCGGGTCCAGCCCCCTCCAACGCGGCCCAGGGCGCAGGCGAGTGGAAGCCAAAGGTGGGGTCAGTGGAGCGCCCCCTGCACGGGCCCCCCAGCCCCGAAATCCCCAGTGCCACCATCGCCATGCCTCGGGCCTGCCTCCCGGCCAGTCCTGCTAGTGCCACTCCCAGCCAGCGCCGGTGGGTCTCCGCGGCCACCAGCGCCAATGACTCCTTCGAGATCCGGCCTGCCCCCAAGCCTGACATGGAGGCCATCCCCGAGGGGGACCTCCAGGCTCGAGCCCTGGCCAGCCTCCGGGTGAACTCCCGAAACTCCTTCACGTTCCTTCCCAAGCGCAAGACCCCCGGTGCCTGTGTCCCTGAGGGAAGGCCGTCTGTGGAGCAGCCGAAGGCAGAGCAGGGCTGGGCTTTGCCGCCACCTCACCACTCCAGGGCCCAGCTGGTGCCTGGAGCGGATGGCCGCCCTGCCTGCCAGAGGTCCCCCTTGGGGGCCGAGGCGGTGTGGTCAGTGGGAGAGGGGGGTTGCCCCAAGCCAGCCACTGCCCTTCAAGACCCGGCACCGAGGTGGCCAAGGCCTTCTTCGCCACCCCCCTCCCTGCTGTCCACCACTGAAGCTGAGCCTGCTCAGGGCGCCCTGGCTCTCAGCCTGGTCAAGAATGACCGGGAGCCTGGGTATTCGAAGCTCCCGGTCACCTTCATAGATGAGGTGGACTCAGATGAGGAGATGGCCCCGGAAGCCAAAACGCCTCCCTGGTACCGCCTGCACTCCGCCGAGCCTGAGCACCCACTGGGCCTCAAGCCCCATCGGGGCAACACCTTCATGGTGGTGCCTAAAAGGAAGCCAGGGCCCATGGAAGAGCTGCACTCTGGCCAGGCCAGTGGGGAGACCCAGCCGAGAGAAGCGGAGGAGGAGGAGGAGGAGGAGGCTGGGAGCCCTGTGGGGCCCCACAGTGACTCGGGGACCATGCTAAAGAAGCGCTACCCCGCCGCCCATGAGATTGAGGTGATCGGAGGGTACCTGGTTCTGCAGAAGTCCTGCCTCACCAAGACTGGGGCCTCCAGGAAGAAGGTCAGTGTGGGTAGGGCCCCATGGCTGTAACATAGTGGGCAGAGGGGCCTGGGAAGGAGGGTCGGGCTAGAGGTTCCACTGGGAGAAGTGCACATACTGGCACTGGCTCAGGGGCCTGCAGTGACCTTCCGTGGCCCTGGCTGGGGGTAGGGGAGTGCATGCTAGGACTCTGCCGCAGGGGCAGCAGGATCTGACTGGGCACCAGGCCCATCTGCAGGTGGTACTGGGGAGGGGCTGCGCGCTCACTTGGAACATAGGGCACAGAAAAGTATCCCTCACATTCTTCCTGGTTCTTCCAGCTCTGGGGTGTTTCCGGGGACAAATTCCAAGGCCAGCCCCCCCCCCGCCCCCCAGCATCCCCCCAAACCCAAAGCAGCTGTAATGGGTGTTACCCAGGGCTACGCCCAGCCCTCAAGGCCAGTACTCCCCCAGCCTGTTTCCGTGGGTGATGGGTGGGCAATGCTTCTGAGCATTAACCCTCCCCCTTCCCGCCTGCTTGCCCCCAGGCTTACGGCCACCTCCCCCACCTCCTGCACTTCCTCCAGTGCTGGCCTTGGCACCACCCTCCCCTGCCTGTGCGTCCTCTTGAGGTCCATCTGCCCAGCCTGGCACCCCTGTCCGCCTGCCCACAGCGCTTCTGGAACATCCCCCTGCCACCCCCACACCTTCATCTGACCCTTGGCCTAAGCCGGGCTGAGGGGTCACTTTTGTGGCAGAGGTGTCAGCTGCCCTGCCCAGGTAACAGGTGGGGTGCTGGGCTGGGGCTGCTCAGCACCTGGCCTGTGTCCTAGATCCTGGGCAAGCACTAAGCCCACCTACCCTGGGTATGTGCCCTCTTTGGACCCAGCTTCCTGTTACACCTGAAGGCCATTTTCCCAGGCCCGGAACAGAGCTTGTTGGGGTGCAAAGGGCAAAGCTCCCAAGGCCTAACAGAGCAGGAACAGGTGACAGGAGGCAGGTCCACGGTGGGGTGGGGAGCAAGCTTTGGGTTGGCTGGGGTAGGGGCAGGCCAGCTTGGCACAGCTTCAGTGCCAGCCTGGGGGCTGGGGTCCAGGTGGATGCCCAGGAGTGGTCTCTATGCCAGCCTAGAGGTTGGGAGTCCATGTAGATGCCCGGAGTGGTCTCTGTGCCAGCCTGCGGGCTGGGGTCCAGGTGAATGCCCGGGAGTGGTCTCTGTGCCAGCCTGGGGACTGGGGGTC